ATCCTCGTCTGCGATAGTTTCGTCGACCACAGACGGAAACTCCTCTTCAAAGTCAGAGGAACGCCCGACTTTTGATTTCTTTTTTCTTCGAGCTGGCTCTTCTTGGTTCTGAGAAAAAATGTCGTCAGGTGAGGAGTCACCAGCCTCGTCAACATCCACTGACGGTGGTGGTGGCCTCTTGCTGGACCTCCTCTCCTTTTCATGCTTCATAGCCACTTCTAACTTCTCAAAATCTCTAAAACTGAGTTCGGTAACCGAGGCGCGCGGGGGCTCGATGACATAGTCGTTGGGGGTATATTGGGAAGCGCTGTAGTCGTCTAGCCCCGCAACCACGGAATCGATGATCCGGCCTAAGTGTTCCAGATTGGCTGCCGGTGTAATTGCCGGTTGCCTTCCCTTCGGTGGCAATGCAGCTGGCTCTGTGGCGGTTGACGGATGCGCTGTGATGTAAAAGATGAGGTTAAGTACCATTCCGAAAAATTCCTACCTGGAAGTAATACCCAAAAAATCTGACTTTGGAATGAAGGATTAACGAGTAAACTGCTGTGGTGGAACAAATGAAAACAACGAATAAGATAGAATTTAGATCAAAACTCGCTTTCATTCGGTTAAAACAAGCAAGTTAGGAGGATCGTACAAGCCATAATAAATCATTATTTTTAGATTCGAAAAAGGGAAGTTAACTTCAACAAACTGCTTTCTAAGGCATTAGCGAATCCGAATTATTCAAACAAAGCGATGTCCGACAGACTGTGGATTCATTGGGATTTCAGCCACCAGAAGACGTATTGCTTACACTGGAGATGGGCGCTGAGCAATGCCCAGCAATGGAGGAAAAATCTACTTGACATATGTTCGGCAGACATCAGAACCCCAAAATCACAGCACTTCAAAACAACTAGCTTAACAGTCTTGAGTAAGAGGCCGGGAGCTTACATATACGTTTAATCTTGTTGACTAGGAAAACCTACGCAAACTAAAATGTGTTAATGATCAAGTCTAATTATTGCAGGAAAGTCATTGCCGCAAGAACCAAACTGAATATGAGAGAACAGGAGTAACCTAGTTACTAAGGGAACATAATGTCGAAAAATAAGTCAATCCTGGCTTATGAGCATGATAATCCACGCTTAGGAACCGTTGACGGTCAGGCAAAAACTAACAATTAAACAGCTCAAATAATGGCGTCTATTCTCCGCGAGCATTCAATAAGCACTGCATTATCAGGTAATTAGGCGAAAACAGTGAGCACCTACAGGCCAAGGATGCATCGTTCTTTGGTTTTTGAGCCGTGGATACGTTCAAGGGGTGGGCCCCTGATCGAGTTTTGGATAACGTCTTTGGTGGGCCTGTAAAAAAAAATAAACAAAGCGTAAGAGGTCGGACCGCCACTGACAGTGAGTGGACACTGCATGGGGCTTATTCGTGCTCTGTGCCAGCATTTCCACAAAGCGACAAAAATTTGAGCACATGGTCGGGAGGTGAGGCCATATAAGGCTAGAATAGGCGCTGTTCTTAGCTTGCAGTACAGAAGAAGGCCTAGGCTGTTTGAAAAGGTAGGAAGCCGTTCTCTCTCTCTTTCTATCCACCTGTCAAGTTCTCTTTCTCGCATATTTGGAGGAATCGCTCATGACAAAGTAAAAAAGGGAAAGGGGAAGTCTTTAGGTTCTTGTTGACTCCAAAGGAACTTAAAAGGCAAGGATTTGCCAGAGTAGCAAGGTGTGGCCAGGTAAGATCAAGATGGTCGGAAATTTGTATGGAGGCAGTTGTAATCAAAACTAAACAATCCGTCTACATCTGCCACGCGGGACCTGATGCCTGTCGCACAAACAGGTTTCGAAGCCAACATAAGCAAGAATGACAGAGATCACAGGTGGAAGACATTTAAGTATGCCGCCCAGTCTCACGAATGACCGAGTTATCCACTTGATCGGCAACCTAGAAGGCCACGACTGCCAGCGTGTGTGATTGCTCGTAAAGAATAAATTAAGGGATGGGATCGACCTATAATTACCCTATATTATCCTGTTTTTTTTGCGCTCTCCCACGAACTAGTGACCCGTCTGATTCTGCCAATTCATTGATTAGATTGTGTGAGTTGGATGAAGGCGCGTAAGCCTCCGTCTAACACATGTCACATGCCTGGACGTAGTCAAACAAACTAAACCTAGTCAGAATAACGCATGCATGATGCGTTCTGATCCAGCACGACACAATCAGGAGGGGGGATCAGAGGTGCACGGACGATGACTTACCGCCAGATGAAGGATGGGTCGCCTCCGTTTGAAGATCAGCAGTCGATTTCTGGGCGGCAATAGCTGATTTTGGCGAGGCTTTGGAGAGTTCTTTAAAAAAAGAGAGGAAAACAACGACTGTCATGACTTATTCGGTCAAACTCCTTAACGACGGCTCAGAAAGTACGTCAGTACAGTTAGAGCAGCAGCGTTTTTAGGGGGCTCCCAGACTCGTGGACGAGTTAAGTGTACGTGTCTTTACCTTATGAGACCCTAGATATCGGCAGATCCCAGTGTACTCGCAATCCATTGACGAAGAAACATAAGGTGGGTATGATTACCAATGGTCGGTTTGGACATCCAAAAAACACGAATAAGATAACTTTCGGTCAAGGAAAACGGACACTCTAGATTGCTAGACACAGGAACTTTGAAGGAACCAACGAGGTCTATGAACTACTACGCAGTAAAGTCAAATAAAACAAAATTAAGCTAACTTGCTAAAACTAAAAGTTAGTTTGATAAAACGACCCTTAGTCAGCGTTTCTTATATTTTTTCATAGATCCTACTTCAGTTCCAACACATTTAGCAGTCTCCGAGTAGCTCTTTGATGACTAGCAAGCTTGTCTTAGATGGCCGTGGTCAAAGGCCTATGAGCATTGTTCCTAATCGAGAGGTGCGACCACGAAAGCCATTTGTTTCGCTCTAGTACTGGAGACACACTGACAAGCCTAGCCAATTGTTGGCGTTGGTTGTTTCTGATTTCTACGTGGCAGTAGGGCGGGCCCGGTAACACAGGTTACTTCAATCTCGCTTGATAAAATTCGACGGTCCTGTGCAACATAAAAGCCCATCTTATATACTTCCCTTCCCCAAGAAGAGACGATAGGAGGCACGGTAAGCAAAACACACTATGGCGTTAGCTGTTACGGCGACTAAGATTGGCAGTAAAGAAACGTTTTTACAGATACATTCCATCGTCAGTGAACCATATTTAAAACTGGGTTGGCAAAATCCTGGGATATTAATTCAGGGCGAACTGTTTAGGTTAGGTGAGTGACCATGGATGCTCCGGATTACGACCAACAAGACGTGAACCCATGACCCAGCTATTAATTCATAAAGCTCAACGGGCAACAGGCTCCGTATAAGGTGCGAGTCTCTCAGCCCCTGCGTTAATTTAGGGGATGCTGGGGGTGTTCAACAAGTCGGAAATGACTACCATGACCTCATTGATGTATTCTTGAGGAAATTTCTATTACAGATTCTTGACTGCTATTCAAGTGTAGGCGTTTGCTGTGAACTATAGCCCCAAAGCTAAGGAAATTCATCCAGAAGTAATACTCTCGCTGTTAATGCAACGTC